TTCTTTTAGTTCAGCTTGAGTTGAAAATGGGCCGTGAAGCCCAGGAAATGAGTCCATTTTTCAAGTAGTACCCAAGATTGAAGCATGGGGAGCCCAATATCCGATGCCGTTTGATGTTATCACGCTTTGTGAATTGTGATATTTCAATAGTTGGCACTGAAGTTTAGCCAAATTACTAAGATGGTTCAAAAGAGTTACTGATGCAAATGCGAGCTCGAGCCCCTAAAGAGACGAGCTATTAACAAAAGAGTCAGTAATTGAGTTTGAACTCTTACTAGCCGAGTCAAGTCGAGCCAAGCCGAACCGAGCTCGTGTTTAGGGTGCCCGAGCCCTTAAAGAGCCGAGCCGTGCTTGGCTCTTTAAATAAACGAGACAAAAATCAAGCTTGAGCTCGGCTCTTTAAGACTTCGAGTTCGAGCAGTAATGAGACGATCTCGAGCTCAAACAAACCGAGCTATAAAAATTTGCTTGTTGAGCCTTATCGACCCGAGTTTACAAAATCTATATATATATATATATATATATATATATATAATTACTGGCTTTTGCATTAATCACAATTACATTTTCCCGCCTTTTCCGTTACTTTTGCATTAATCACAATTATATTTTTTACTTATTTTATTATATAATTGCTACTATTAATTAATAATGAAGACACAATAAATGTTATTCTATTCTAATGTTTTTTAAACTATATATTTAAAATTGTTATTTTTTTACCGCAAGTTTCTTTTATTACATTTAATTAATTATCTTTTATGGCATAACCAAACTTTTTCATGATTTGTACACAAATATTATAATAATAATTTAAATATTTTTTATCCAATTAATTATCATAATCGACTAACACTGTATAAATTTAAAGATTAATATGTACGTTAAATAGTTTATATTTATATCGTCATTATAGTAATGATAAAATTTATAAATATGATATGCTTATTATCTAATTTATGATTTTTAAATTTTACATAAAACATATATATATATATATGTATAATATATAAAATTTTATTTGCATTTGTGCATGTACACAGGGTAGAATACTAGTGAGCTTTAAGTGAGCTCGAGCTCGGCTCGTTAAGGCCTTGAACTCGAGCTGAAGTCGAGCTTTAACGAGTCAAGCTTGAGCCGAGCCAAACTAGACTTGTTTAATTTAACATCACTAATTTTTATGATGATTGATCTTAGCTGCATCACATTTCCAATTATATAATGCATTTTTTTCTTTCTCACTCGAACTAATAATTCCATTTCATGCATGCCCATCATTATCAATTGCGGTCCAATTTGAGTACTATATATGACCATAATCATTGTCATAAACTTTACTTGTCCGAAAGCATTAGTTATTAATGCCTTACCTCGACTATCACGACTATTACCCACCTAACCAAAACAATTAAATATGACCAGTGCACATATACTAGTTCGATGGTATAAAAATCATAGTTTGAGACCTGGACCACCATAGCCGGAACAGGTCTGAATGAGCTATATGGACCGAGCAACAAAGGACTCGGTCAAATCCGATCAAAATCCAGCCAACCCGGCCTTGACCCGATCAACCTGGGGATTTGACCAGGTTGGAGCCCCTATATATATTTTATTATTATTTTTGTATTTTTTAAAATATTTTTTTTAAAAAAATAAAACTATTTATATATATTTATATGGTAAATATTTATTATGAAATATATATTATTAACACTTTAATGTACAAATTTTATATACAAAATATTTAATTTTGTTACTTTTATGTATATATATATGACAAAATACTCTATACATAATTTAAAAAATTTCAAAATTAATTATCGGGTTCAACAATTGACCTGATGACCTGATAGTTAAACCGGTGATCCAGAGACCTGCCCAGATCAATCCCGGGCCGGGTTTAAAAACTATGATAAAAACACAAAAAATTCCTGTTTAGTATTAGTTAGCTCGACCTGTCATATTATGTAAACACAAATGTAAACTTATACTATGGAATATTACACTAAAAATAATGTTTATGATGTTTAAAGTGTATGACTATGCATATTTGAAGCGTAAAATTTATCCTTAAGGAGGCACATCAATTAATAATTAATTTCCACAAGAAGAAATACTTAAAATTTACAAGCTTATATATGTACAATTTGGTTTCAAATCTGTTCTTATATGATGCCCATTTTTTGCACATTAAAAAATCTTTCAAAAAAAAAAAAATAAATAAATTAGAGCAAAATTCTAGTAGGTTGATCATTGTATGTTGAGTCTTGGGTTTGTCTAGACTTAATCTCCACCTCAGCACACCTTAAAGTCCTCTCAATTTGGTAACCTCCTCCAATGCTAACTTCCCTCTCCAAATGGCTGCAATAGCTTTCAAAAACACTCACATTCACATGCAATTTGAATTTCATCAAGAACAAAAATTCAAACTCCAATTTGTTCATCTCTTTTGTGCCCAATCCCCCAACTCTACCAAAATATGAATTTCTGTAATTCCTGCACAAATTATTAACAAAATAAATTATTAATTCCGTTTTTTTTTTTTGCTAAAACAATCCATATATTTACAAAATAAAACTCAAATTGCTATGGTACCATCCCGTCGAGTGTTTTAACCATTGGATATACACGTAGTTAGTATAAGATAAATGATCCAACGGTTAAAATACTCGACGGGATGGTACCGTTACGAGACCATAGCATTTTCCAATAAATACTTCTCAGAAAATTTAAAAGAATTATTAATTTATATTTTTATCTAATATTATTATAGGTCAAATCGAAAATATTACTTTCTTCCTTTTCATATTTTAAATTATTTTCTCTATATCTTATACTTTGATGATTCTCTTTTCATTTCATTTTTTAATATTCTAATATTATATGTTTCAAGAAAAAAATAGAAACAACAATTTTAAAATGACATTGACTACTATATAATTGAAAAAAAAAAACTTTTTTTTTTTATTTTTAGAAAAATAGTAATTAGATTAATATGAAAAAAAAATGCAATCTAAAATTGCAAACAATAAATACCAGCAAAATGACTTACATGTCCTCAACATATTTGGAGGCGACAAGGATAGTGGTGATGAGCAGCCTATGCACATTTCGGGCCCCGACCCGGAAGTCCGGGTACAGCTGGCAGAACCTATCGATGTACACGTAAGCAACGACGTAAACCGGCGGGCCGGCACGCGTGTAGCGGAAAATCCTCTCCAGATACGACTGGACGCTCATGTCAGGCGTCTCGTCGGAGTCGAAGAAACGGGCCGGGCCGGAAAGCGAGGCCCATTTACAGTTCTTGGATATCCTCTTCTTTCGGGCCATTGTCCTCTCAATGAGTGATGAGAGCACAGAGATGACTAATGGTGTGGCTGAGCTATCTTGGTATGAGTATGAATAAAGATCATTTCTAAGCTTTTTTGGAGAAATTAAGGCCATTTTTTTTCTCAATTTAATGATTATATATATATATATATATATATATA